GGTGGGTTGTCGGTGCCCCACGGCACAGGAAAGCCTTTCCAGAAAAGGAGGACGCCTGGCATGAGGAAGCTGTTGGGACATGGGTGAGGAGGAAGACTTGAGTTTCATCTCACTAACTTGAAGACTATCCGATGTCATCGGATGTCACTGGAGAGGCAGATGGTAATGCGATGCCGGCACTTAAGGGAAAGGTGTTAGAAGTGGACACTGAAGCCAAGTGAGGCAGTGGGGGGGGGCAGAAGGATTGCGAGTTCCACGTCAACCTAGATAACAAAGTGAGACACTGCCTCGAAACAACAGCAATAAAAGGGCCAGTGAGGGGGCTTAGCCGGTAACAGTGCTTGCTGCCAAGCCTGGCAGCCTGAGTTTCATCTCAAGACACACATGGTAGAAGGAAGGAGAGCACTGACTGTAGTGTCTTGTCTCGCCAGGTCCCGCCGCCCTTCAGCCCCAAATAAACACACGGATGCTATATTAGTTACAAAATTGTTGGCCGATGGCTAGGGCTTCTAACTGGCTAGCTCCCTCTTAGTTTTTAACCCGTAACTATTCATCTGTGTATTTCTGCCTTATCTTACCAGAGAACACCTGGCACGGCCTATCTTGCCAGTCTCTACATGGCGGCACCTTGTGGGCATGATATACACAGTATATCTCTGCCTCTCTCCCCAGCATCCTCCTCGTCTCCTAGCCCCGCCTATCTTGCTGCCTCTACTGGCCAAACAGTGTTTTATTCATCAACCAATAAGAGAAACATAGATACAGAAGGACGTCCCCATCACGCACACGTACACGTTATAGGGTCTGGGTGGGGATGCAGTGCTATAAACAGCACTTGCAAAGGGGAGGCAGGAAGATCAGGAGTTTGAGGTAAACCTTGTCTTTTAAAAAGGGACATTTGAGGGGCTGGAGAGATGGCTCAGAGGTTAAGAGCACCGGCTGCTCATCCAGAGGACCTGAGTTCAATTCCCAGCACCCACATGGTGGCTCACAGCCATCTGTAATGAGATCAAAGCCCTCTTCTGGTGTGCAGGCAGGAACAATGTATACGTAATAAATAAATAATTTTTAAAAAGGACATTTGAGTGTTACCAGTTATAGAAGATACTGTTAAAACCCTGGGGATCAGGGTCAGGTCAAAGCCCAGGGCACCTCAGTATTTTTGCTCACTTATTCTCAATTAAGGGTAATTATGCTGCACCCTCAGGGGACATATGGCAATGTCTGGAGACTTTTTTAGTTTCCAGCGCCCCAGGCATACCAGGCAAGTGCTCCGCCACTGTTTTAGTTAGGTTTTCTATTGCTAAATTAAAACCATGACCAGCTTTGGGGAAGACATGGTTTACTTCAGTTTACTTCAGTTGTCTATGGTGGAGGGAAGTCAAGGCCGGAACCTGGAGGCAGGAACTAAGGCAGAAACTATGGAGGAGTGCTGCTCGCTGGCTTGCTCACCCAAGACCACCTACCCACAGTGGGCTAGGTTCTTCCGCATCAATCATTACTCAAGAAAACGCTCCACAGATCTGCATAAGCTGATTTGATGGGGTTATTTTCTCAATTGAGAGTTCCTCTTCTCAGGTGACTCTAACTTGTGTCAAATTGACAAAGATAAAGGGGGAAAAAAAACCAGGAGAACCACTAAACTGTAACATTTGTTATGG